AGAAGAGAAGAGAAGAGAAGAGAAGCAGTGGAAAGGTGGTGGAAATAACATTTGGTATCAGATAATTGCAGAAATAATCAAGCCTGACAGAGTACACAAAGCATTTGGACTATGCTCTTAGGCACATGGTGGGATTCTTGTGGATGTCCGGTGCAGAGGAAAGAGTTGGAGGCTATGATCCTTGTGGGTCCCTTCCAGCTCTGAGTAGTCTGTGATTCTGTGAAGATGTAATAAGTAGGTCCCTAATTTACCAACAGGGTGATACAAGGTAAATGAATTTCCCTGCCTCACACACATGTTTGTGCATACAGAAGCCCCTGAGAAGAAAGGAAATGGTGGTATATAATATTGGTATATATGATGTGGTGTCTAATATAGGGTTGAGTATCACCTGTTCTATTTGTGTGCCCACAGCTGCCACACGGGGCAGGACAGTGTGTGAGGACAGTGTTTCACACAGGTAATTGCAGAGGAAGGCTGGAAATCGATGAAGGTGAGCTCCAACACAGACCCACCACGAGCAGTTTGGGAGCTCTGGGCCAGGCATTTGGTTCTGTGGCCTTGGGTAAATCACTTTTTCTAGTGACACAGAGAGGTGTTTAGCGCTGAGACATGCAGCATCATATACTTCAGGAAAGTACTTACCACCTCCCTCTGCCAGAAAGAAAAAAGAAATATGTATGTACTTCTGTTTAGCCATGCTAAATATGAGATTTCCTTCTCAGTTACTCACTGCTTTGAAACAACCTGTTCTTCAGATTACAAGGGGAACATCAGAGAATGGAGTGTCTGAAAGAGTCTGTTGGATCTGTGGTGCAGCTAACAAGGAGCTTCTGAATGACATCAGTACTTGGAGATGACAGAGATGCTTCCTGTCATTTTCCCCTGGCTGGGCTGTGCTCCTGTGCCACCACAGAACAGGTATTTCAGGCCATTCAGGGAGTGGTGGTTGCATTTCAGGGATTCTTGTCTAGCTAACCTCATCAAGTTTATCCCAAAGAGCTTTCACTCAAAACACCCATTTCTTGCTCCTGAGTTTGAACCTAACACAACTCTGTACTATAGAAAAGATTTCCCTCAGTTTTCCATTTACTTCCTCGATTGCTTCTAATGTTTATTCTTTTAGGATGTGAACAAGAACCTCATTGATTTCTGGGGCACCACCCTGAGCTGGAACCTCCCCAGCTCAGTCCTGCCCCACTAAAGGCCTCCATGTGGAAACATTTCTTTCCTGCTTGTGTCCAACCCTGGCAAAAAGAGCAAGAAGGATGCAGGAAAAGCTACAGACCATGCTCAGAAAGAGAAGCCCTGTCTGCTAGCAGTGCTTCAGCCACATCCTTCAAGCACAAAGAGCTGTCACACATGAAAGCCTAATGTAGCATCATGTGGCAAATGTTCTTTCTGCTTTTTAAGCTGTGTTATTTGTAACCTCTGTGTGTGTCTGTCGTTCTTGTGTGCAGAGGTGCCTGTGAGTCACCAGTCACCCTGTGCCTGATCAGACAAACCCAATTAGCACCTTAAACTGGAAGAGCTTATTAGAACCAGCTAATAGGACACACTAGACCTTGGAAATGAGGTGGGATGTGAGTTATTTGTCAATGACCCCTCATCACTGAGTGCTCAGTTTATTTCTCTTACCTAAAGGCACAGAAGAAGGATATTGTCTCAGTTCATTTGAGATGTAAACTGGTCCTTTCTAACAGAGCTTTGGTCTGAGCAGGTATAGGGAGCATAAAAATAGGTCAGGTCATGGCTGAGCCTGGTTATCTGTGGCTTTCTGTCCCTTTTGGAGATGAATTTTACAAACTCAGTTGCAGTAACACAGACTTCCCTGTATGCTCAGATCCCTTTGAAGGGAGGTACTAAGCAGATGATGGTGCCTGAGAAGGACTTAGCAGTGTTTGTACCACTCAACAATGTTGGCATGAATCAGATTATTGCTGTAGACATCAGATCCTGTTCATTGTTTGAAGGGCACTAACAACATAGTTTCAAAGGGATGTGATTTGCATCATGAGAGAAGGATGTTTTTTTCTCCTCTCTGAATATACCTGTGTCTACTGCAGCTCTGCAGTTTCCACCTGCAACTGCTCTGAGTTGGCTGCAGCATTTGGATGCTTCTCCATACCATGAGTCAGTCTAGAGATTTAAGATAAGGTTGTCTTCCAGTCGGTTGTGATCGAATACCCACACTTGAAATGGCTTTCAATTGTCATGAAGTTGTTTTACCAGTTTAATCTCCACTGGAGAAACTTTGCTGTTGCTTGTGAAACACTCTGAAATCCTCTGGCAACATCAAAGGAAAACACTTGTGCCTTAGATGTTTGCAAAACATTGGAGATCACAACCTGAAACGAGCAAAGTGCTTCTGGACCCCAAGCCAAGCTGTCCTGGACACCCAAGCTGTAAGCAAGAGTGACACCAGGTATGTTTCCTTGCACAGTAACCTCACACAGCTTTCTCAGCCCCAACATTTCACTCCTCAGTGCTCAAAACAAATAAATACAAACTGCTTATTCATGTTTTATTCGTTAGTAAACTTACTCGGCATAAATAATAAGAGCAGCCATTCAGTACAGGTGGCATCTGATGATGCAAAGTGCTCTGGAATGGCCCCCGGGGTGACTCGGAGCAGTTATTTCCTCTGGGCTCCGGCGATGGCAGGTTTCTCCTCGCGGGTGATGGGGATGGTGCGCTCGGGGACGTCGCTCTGCTTGCGCGGGGCACTCACCGTCAGCACTCCGTCCAGAGACAGCGACGACGTGATGGTCAGCGGGTCCACGTCGTCAGGGATCCTGTATTTCCTGTTGAACTCCCTGGCAATAAAGCCATGCTCGTCCTGCAAGAGGAGGGGAGAAGGAATAGACCTCATTAGAAACGTTCGGTTCCACCTAAACTACAGACCCTTTGCAAGGCTGAGAGTGGAACCACCAGACCCTTTGCAAGGCTGAGAGTAGAACCACCAGACCCTTTGCAAAGCTGAGAGTGGAACCACCAGCACCTTTGCAAAGCTGAGAGTGGAAGCACAGACCCTTTGCAAGGCTGAGAGTGGAACCACCAGGACCTTTGTAAAGCTGAGATTGGAACCACCAGGACCTTTGGAACCACCAGGTCCTTTGCAAAGCTGAGAGTGGAACCACCAGCACCTTTGCAAAGCCGAGTTTGGAACCACCAGGACTTCTGCAAAGGCTGAGATTGGAACCACAGACCCTTTGCAAAGCTGAGTTTGGAACCATCAGCACCTTTGCAAATGCTAAGGTTGGGAAGCTCTAGATCTCAAAGGAAAACCTTTCAGAAAGTTAGAAGAGTTTTTAAGATGAGATGTTCTCTTTAAACAGCCAAGTCTGGCCAGAGGAGACACGGTCCAGTTGCCACACAGGTCCCCAGAGCCAGCAAAGCAGTGGGATGGATAGCAGAACACAAGCCTCAAGGGTTAGAAACTGATAGCTGGGCCTAAGAAAGGTGACACCAGAGGACAATGCACTGATTCATGACATGGTTTAATTCTCAGTTTGCTGTTAGCTTATTGAATGTCTCCCTGCTTTCCTGGGCCTCTTCCCAGAAAGAGGGAGGCCCAAAACACCCATTTCTAAGATGATTTTCCAGTTCAGTTCACAGTTCATGTAACATCAGCAATAAATCTGAACCCTCTTGCTGCCCTGCCTGGGATCAGCTGGAGGGTTGCACAGAGCACCTTCCCTTAGAATGGGTTGGTAAAACCCATTAGAAATATTTGAGATGAGGATTGTTTTGCAGTCTCCTTGTTTACCCAGGGGTGAGGCAGTTCACTCTGGCTCTAGCAGTGCCCCAGTTAAAGCAGCAGTACCTGGCGTTCCTCGTGCTTCCCGTGAATCTCTATCATGTCCCCAAGCACCTTCACTTTTAGCTCCTCAGGGGAGAAATGCTTCACATCAAGATTGACATAAAATTTGTCCTTATCCAGTCGCATCTGCAAAACAAGGAGGTGACTTGAGGAAAGAGCAGCTTAAAAAGGCTCTCAGAATACAAACTCAAGGTGGTACCTCCTCATGCCCTGACCTTTTCTTGAGATTCTGAGTGGCTTTGTGCTTTGCTGCCCTTACCTTCATGCCCATCACTACAGCACCTGAGAGCCTCAACCTGAGCTTGTTAAAACTGACTCTTTAGTTGGTGCACAGGTTTCTCAGCTGGTTCTTCTCACGGAATGCCTGGAGGTTTCCAGTTTCTATGACTGGACTGTGCAAAGTCTTGCAAGCCAAAGAAGCCCTGAGTGTGCAGGTGGCCATGGCTCACCTGCAGCCCTGCAGACTGCCCTGCCTCATCACTAGTGACCAGAAGAGTGTCCCTGGTGAGGCAGCACTGCTCAGCTCTGTGCCCTCAGCAGCAGGACTGCTGCTGCTGCTGTCCTCACCTCCTTCCCCTCAGTCTGCACTTTACCACCTCTAATTAACACAGCTTTTTGCTGCTTTCTGAGGCTGAATTTGCATTTTCTGCCCGTCTTGGACACATCTGAGGGAGTTTGCTGTTTGAGCTGGCTGTGTCTGCCTTCCTGCTGCAGTCGTGGTCAGGGAGGGGGAAGCCTCCTGGAGCTCTGCTCTGGGATGTGGGGACAGCCTCTGTGCCAGCTCTGTGCTCACTGCTTCCCACAGTTTGACCTAAGTGCTTCCTCCTCCTCCTCCTAGATCACTTGGGAAGGTGTCTCCACTGAGATAGATGTTATCTGTGGTGCTTGTGGCTGCTCCAGGGGACAGCCAGACCCAGGCCACTAAATCAAGGGGAACTATGCAAAGATTAAAACAATACTTTCTTCTCACTCCTTCTGCTTAGAAGAGCTCCACAACCTACTCGTAAATAAGACAGTTGACTTGCAGAACAGGCAAGTGTGTCTCGGCTCAGCCCCTGAAGCAAGCAGACATCTGTTTCATGATCCTGTGGGTCCTGGGTCTTACTTAAAATGCTGTTCTTCTGGGCAGTGGTTCTCTAAAACAGGCCCTTTTCCCTCAGCATCCATGAGCTCCCCCTGTCCTCATGTCCCTCCTGTCCCTCCTGATTCCTCCTGTCCCTCCTGACATGAAGATCCCACCACCCTGCGCTGTTTGCTTCTCAGCTGGGAGTGGGATTGAAAGTTTTGCATAGCAGACTGGGAAATTAGGGAAATTAGGTTTCCTCCTTTCTTCTTAGAGTCATCTCCTGCACACACTCATCTCGGCTTGCCTCTCTTCCCATCACTATGGCAATACTTGCTCTCAGTCACAATTAGCAGAGCATGCAGAGCTTCTTACCTACTGCACAGACACAGCACCCTCTTCCCCAGCCTCTCCCTAAAGAACCACCTACAAGCAGCTTCCAAGCTCTCAGCTCCCGTGGGTCTCCAGGTGCAGACCCATCAGGATGTGCACCCAGCAATAACAAAGAGCATGAAGAAGCAAAGATTACCTCAGAGAGTCCTGTCTCTAGCCAACTGGGCATCCGAAGGATGGGGGATCTCATCAGGAAAGGACTGAAGGTGGGGGAAACAGGGAGCAGCTCTGACTCCTGCAGGTGCTCCCCGAAAATCTGGTCAAAGATACGACTCGGTGCCAACCAAGAAAAGAAGGGTCTGCGGATCAGGGGGTTGTGAATGGTGATATCCATTGGAGAGCGCTGGAGGAGTCTGGCACACAAGTGTGCTGCAGTGCTGTGCTGGGAGCCTGGGACAGCTTTATACCCGTGCAGCTGGCCTGGCCTTCCACCCCCCCGAGGCCTCTTGAACAGTGGTGTCAGGGATTTTATTGTCCCACTCCTGGGCTGGGCCCTTCGGCGGTGCCCAGTAGCTGTCTGAGGGATTTGAACGCGCTGCTGAGGAGGAGGGGGCAGGGGAGAAGAAGAAAAGGAGCCTAATGGGGCAGCAAGAAGCCGAGGTGGCCAGGCGCCCACCCCACGTGCTGTTTATCGGCAGAGTCCCAGGCGGCCTTGGCGGATGTTCCCAGCTGCTTTGGATGCCAACGGGATCAATGCAGCTCCTATCTTTGGCTCCCAGGGAAAATGACAAGGGGCTGTTGTTCCCACTGCCAGCGCTGAGGCTGCAGCTCCCCACATCACCCACCAGCCCAGGACGAGCTCTGCCTCTCCTTAAAGCAAAGGAAGGCATCGAGGCAGAGGGCAGGGAGGAGCCCAGGAGGGATCTGCTGAGATCACCTTGGCACTGCAGCTCTGCAGCCCAGTAAGCCTCACTGCCCTGTGCACACCCTCTGGTGTGTGTGAGTGAGATTTCTCCATTGTGTTTCAGCCCAACACCTCTCATCTCTGCCCAGCACAGAAACCACTTCACTGGAGAGAACAGAAGAGCCTGACACGGTGAGCTCAGAGTCCCAGGGAACTGGAGCAGAGCTGACCTGGGCATGCTAAGAGCCTCCAGCACTGTGAGGTGTCTCCACAGGGATGCAAGCTACCTGTGCCTGCCTGGGCCCCTGCACTAAACTCCTAATGCATCTTAACTCACACATTTATTTTAATTCCTGCCTCACCTGTGAACCTAAATGACAGGAACGGGTTCAGCCTAGCAGCTGTCCTCCCAGGGCAAGAGCTGCTCTCTGCCTCTGAGAGCACCAATACAATTTCTGGCTCAGAGGTACATCATTCTTCCTGCTAGCACCACCAGTCCTCTGCAAAAGGTTCTGACCCTTTTCCTCTCAGCTTGCCTGCAAGGATAGGGAGCAGAATTTGCTCTGTGCAACAGCTCAGGACATAAATACTCTGCAATTGCCCATTACATCAACAGCACTGCACCTGCTCTCTCACACTGAGGGACATGGGCTGAAGGAAATCTCTGGTGTCAGGGTACACAGGGTGTCACTGGGCACTACACCACCCCTGTTCAATAAAACTGGATCTCAGCTACCTTCAGACCCTTGGCTAACTCGTGGTCTCTGGCTCCAGCGTTTCTCCAGCTCTCATCACATCGTACCAAAGCCCTGGCCAAGGAACAGTGTGGATAGCTAGCTTGCAGCAGTGTGGTTCAGGATGGGGAGGTGTCAGCAGTGGGATCAGGATCCTGTCTACTTCTGCTTAACTTGCAGTGCTTCAGCACTCAGAGGAACAGAGCTCAGCTGCTGGGAAAACCAGGCTCCTTGTGCAGGGCATGGGAGGGGTGACTTGGGCAATGGGTATGAGAGTGACTCCATGGGACTTTACACAACAAGTTCCAGGCAGCAATAGCTGCTGTCCTGTCCCCATGCTGTGCTTCAGGGCCACCAGTACCCCCTGGCCCTGCTCACAATGAGCCTCCTTGCTGGCCCTTGCTTTGGGAGCACGACTGGCAGCAGAGCCTGAGACCTGTCCTGCTTCCTCCTGCCTCAGCCTCCCTCAGCTCCCCTCTGTGCCCCCTGACTGCACATGGTCACCCATTCTCCTCCTGCAGCCCTTGCTCTGGGAGGGACTCTGAGGCTGGGAGGACGTGTGGGATGTTCCTGAGGTGTCCCTGACTGCAGGCAGTGGCCACACTCCCTGCTGGAATGCTGCGTGAAGCTTCGCTCGTCACCCTGGCGAGGCATCCTGGGGCCTGTGCGTGTGGCTATTTTGGTCCATCTTTTTATCACACACTCCTCCCTTTGGAATTCACCCAATTAAACCCTTGCAATCTGCAGCCTTCAGTCTCAGAGGCAGCGAGGGCTCGGAAGGTGCCTGTCCCAGCCACGCCATGGACACACGGACTGTGCCCCACGCCTACCCCATGAGCTCCGAGTACGAGTTCGCCAACCCCAGCAAGATCTACGACCAGAACTTTGGAGAAGGTAAGAAGGGAGATGGGATCCCCCCAGCTCCTTCCTCCCCACTCATGCAAAAGGGCTGGTGGAGTTTCTCTGGGGAGACTGAGCTCCAGAGCAGGATAAGAAAACTGGAGCCAATGAATATTGAAGAACCAAGACCAAATCAGGAGGGGAATAGCCAGGGAATAGCCAAGGTCTCTCTCTTTGGATCCTCTTCCTCCATCCATGCCTAGTGCTGGTTGTCCTGTCCCTCTCTCATGCCACCCATGGTCTGGCATTCATGCACATGCTGTGAAAACATGGAGCTCTGGAAGGGGGGGCAGTGTTTGCAGCCGGGGGATGTGGAGAAAAGCTGAGCTGGGGTGTTCAGCACAAAGCTGGGCAGTGGCTGGCTGAGGGGAAGGAATGTGGGCAGCAGCAGAACCATTCAGCACCAGCACAACAGCGTGAAAAGCCAAAAAGCTCCAAGGAAAGCCCCCTGGACAATGGCACACAAAAGGCCTTTAGTTCTTCAGGGCAGTTTCTTCACCATCAGCATTTTCCATGCCCATGCCTGGCTGTGGGCTCTGCACTGCGGAGCACCCAGTGCACCTACCAGTCCCTCCCAGTCCACCCAACAGACATGTAAAGCTGGATGCCAGCCCTTGGCTGGCAGCTGCAGGCTGTGTGGCAGGAGGCAGTGGCTGGCAGGCACTGGATCTCTGTGTCTGTAGAGATATAAAAGGTAGGAACTGCAAGAGGCTCCACCCACATTGTGCTGATGTGCTGGCAAACCCAAGGTGTTTGACAGGTCCCAGCCTCCTCCTGCCACCCTCCCCTACCTGCTGCCAACCCTCCTCCTCCATCTCCTTTCCCTGGAAACCTCACACTCCTCACCGAGTCTCGTTTTCAGGTGTGTCCCCATCCGAGATTTTAGCCCCTGCCCTGTACCATGGCTACTACATCAGGCCTCGCATCAACAAGCAGCTGGACCGAGGCACCTCTGAGATCTGCCTCAATGAGCACAAATTCCAGGTGTTCCTGGATGTCTGCCAGTTCCTGCCGGATGAGCTGACCGTCCGCACTGTGGACAACCTGCTGGAGGTGATGGGGCAGCACCCACAGAAGGCTGATCGCCATGGCTTCATCTCCAGGGAGTTCACCAGGACCTACATCCTCCCCCTGGATGTTGACCCCTTGCTGGTGAGAGCCACCTTGTCCCACGATGGCATCTTGAGCATTGTGGCTCCCCGAACGGGGAAGGAGCTGAAGGCCAGAGTCAATGAGGTGAAGATAACCCAACAGGAGCAGCCAGTGGGGAAAGAAGAACAGTCTGAGGAAGGAAAAGAGACTGAAAAGCCCTAAGGGACCCAGATCTGGGCATGCACAGGGAAGTGGGGGGGACAGGGATGGGAGATTTATGGTGCCAGAACCCTATTTCTCACCATCAGTGTTTAGCAGGGCTGTGAGACAACCACACTTGTGCTTCCTAAGGCTGATGGCTGGGAAAAGGGACATGGAACTGCAAAAAGAGGGAGAATGAAGTGTTAGTATGAGTGATTGTAATGCAAGTTTTCTCCTAGTGTACTTGTGGAGCACCATGCAGGGTGCTCTTCTCTCACCCCACGTGCTTACCCAAAACTGTGTCACAGTGGACTGCTAAACAGCTGCTGTGCTCTAGCCCAGAAGGGTCCTGGGAAGAGGGAAGAGGTGATCCCAGTGCCTTGTTTCTGAGCTGATGGCTGAGCTTCATGGACATGGAAGGTGGTTGTTGGTCTGTATAAGTGCTGCAGCTCTCAGGAGGGAAGAGGAATAAATCTGCCTCTGATTTTTGCTTGTTTGCTTTGGATTCATGTTGCTTCCAGCCAAGCTTCTGTGCAGCAGGAAGGATGGACAGTGCCTTAGCAGCTCCAGGTATGAGCAGCAGAGAGTTCACACTGAGCTCACCCATGGAAATGGCATCAGTGGGGACCTGGAGGGACTGTGGCCGTGGGGCAGCCTGGGGGACCTCTGTGATTCACCCTCCTGGCTCAGGCCCCGCTGGAGTCGCTGCTGGAGGGAGATCTCAGTGGCCTCAGGGATAAAAGGTGTGGAGTGCTGAGCTCTTGGAGGCTCACTGTGCACCTCCAGACCTGCAGCTGCAGCAGCCCAAGTAATGCCAGTTATGGGACATCACACAGACCTTTCCAGCCCTTGTGAGGGGATTGAACCCCAAAATGCCAAAGGAAAAGGGTCTGCTCAGATCTCAAGTGCCTTGCTGGCATCCCAGCACCCTGTAAGGTCCCAGAGGGGATGAATTTTGCCCTTTTGCAGACACTGTGATGCTACTGGCTACGTGAGAAATGTCTCCATGGTCTTGTGATGTTGGGCTGGGGATCGTGTGTGCTGCTGTCGGCGGCAGCTGCTGCCTCGGACGGCCCCAAGGGCTCAGCAGGTGCCAGTTGCAATCCTTGTCTGGTCAGAGCCAAGTAAAGCAGTAAAATGCTGTGTCAGTGGCTAAATATGGGGGTCCCTGGCATGCCTCAGTGCAGCCTCCCACAGAGGGGAGAGGAGATTCTGAGATCCCTGGGGACAGAGCTCGTCCCACTCCCTGCTGAGCTGGGACCTGCA